GTCATAATTTTTGGTATAGTAGTTGTGAATTATTCACACTATATACATTTGGCTTCCGCAACAGGTAGTACTTATCTCCAAGGTATGTAGGTGTCTTCATTGTTTGATTAATTACCCTCATGGCTTTCAATTGTTGAAACAGACTTGTTGGTACGTTTCCTGTGAAGGCATTGTAAGAGACATCTAAGATTCGAAGCTCAAGAAACATGTTTTCATCCCTTGAAGTTCTAATGGATCCATACAATTTATTCGATCTCAAGCTTAAAACTTGCAGCTTTGGTAGAGTTGCCAACCACATAGGGAATGTATCGCCGAGGTGATTATTTCCTAAATCAAGAACTTGCAACTCTTTGCAATTGGCCAAAGATCGTGGGAGTTTCCCTTGTAGCTTATTGTCATGCAAGTTGAGGCTTCTAAGTGAATTTCCAATGGTAAAAGTTTTAGGAATTGTCCCAGAAAGATTGTTCTGGTGCATATCCAAAACCTCGAGGGTACTGATATTAGCCAAACATTGCGGGATCTCTCCAATCAAGTTGTTTTTCGCCAAATCTAGAACTCGTAATGAATCCAAATTGCAAACATATGAAGGAATTTCCTCACTAAGATCATTGTTTGATAGGAACAAGTATTGTGTGGAATTTGGTAGAATAGGTAGTGACCCCTGAAGAAAATTGGACTGCAGATCAATAAGATATAGAGAGGGAGAAGGAATTGAGTCCATATTTCCCGAGCCCATATTTGTCAACATATTGTGGGACAAATTAAGACGGTTCAATGAAAACATCCAGATAGGCCATACCCAATCAGGAATTCTTCCTTGAATCTTGTTATTTGAAAGATTCAAATCGAAAAGTTGCTTTGCTGATCTTAGAAACTCCAATTCTTTTACTTCACATGCGACCAATGCTAAGTTCCAAAGAGATTCGGGCAAAGTAAAATTAACTTTGTTCTCACTCGACAATGAAGTGCCATTATATGAAAGATCAAGATTCCGAAGATTTTTGAGGTTTGAAAATAAGCTGACATCCGCATTTCCACTAAAATTATTTGATGAAAGATCAAGTGAATTTAGGTACACAAGATTTTGAATTGACTTAGGTAGATGGCCTCGCAGCTGATTCCGTTCTAAATAAATCTGTGCAAGTGAATTGGACTTGAAATTATCCTCAAGTTGACCAGAAAAGTAGTTATCACTCAAGTCTAATCCAATTAGTGATGGAAGGGAGAATATCAATGATGGTATTGTTCCAACCGAGGGGTTGCTCTGATGGTAAGCAACCCCCACTTCCAACCGAGAGGTTGTGAGTTCGACTCTCCCCAAGAGCAAGGTGGGAAGTTCTTGGAGGTAAGGATGCCGGGGGTCTATTTGGAAACAGTCCCTCTACCCTAGGGTAGGGGTAAGGTCTGCGTACACACTACCCTCCCTAGACCCTACTAAGTGGGATTATACCTTACCCCTACCCTGGGGTAGAGAGGCTGTTTCCAAATAGACCCCCGTGCATCCTTCCCTCCAAGAACTTGCCACCTTGCTCTTGGGAGACTCGAACTCACAACCTCTTGGTTGGAAGTGGAGGTTGCTTACCATCGGAGCAACCCCTCTTGTCGAGATGTGATAATTGGAGAAATTGTTCCAGGAAAGATCAAGCTTTTGGAGACGAGAGAGTTGGAAACGGTGATATTGGAATCAACCTTCCCTGCAAAGCAGCAGTTATTGAGATCAAGTTCAATGACATGGCCAGTCATCTCATCGCATTTCACTCCATCCCATAAGCAACAATCTCTGCTCATATTCCATGAACTTGTTTTAGATTTAAGAGAAGCAAATGTATCTATAGTAAACGTCTCATTGAATTTTACAAGGGAAATGCTTTGATCTTTGGGGCAAAGGGATGAAGATAAAGCAAATTCAAAGAGAAAAATAACTAAGAGCACAACTGAAAGTTGCCCATAGCCCATGTTTGCATAAAAGGGTTCAAAAGTTGGTAGTGAGAATTAAGAAAAAGCTATGCAAATATATATATATATATATATATATATATATAGGACATTAAACTTTCTTTTATGAATTAAATTATGTACAAGTTGTTGAAATCTCACTATATATCCATGGAAATAAAAGCGAAGACCAAGGAAAATGGAAGCATCCAAATTCGGCCTTATTTAATGTCATTTATGTTGTCCTCCCTCCTGTCCAAAATAGTTGATTTTTTCAGATTTCAAGAATGAATGAATTATTGTTTTCCTACATTGCCCTTGGAGTAATTAATGTTAGAGTATGTGTTAGGAGTATGTATGTGAAGAGATAATAAAGGTTAATGAAGGTGTTGGTTTATGTTTAGTCAACAATGACATGCCAATTGGAAGGGTTGGTGGAAAGAGTTGGTGTGGATGCTAGGAGGAAGCTTCCTCCTTTGATGTCACCCATGACATCAAGAGGAGGTAGTTTGATGTCACCAATGACATCAAGAGGAGGTCTTTACTTCTATAAATAGATGCACTCCTTCATTTGTAGAAATCATCCCAAAAATAATACAACACATTGTAGTAAGTAGAGAGTTAAGAGAGAAATTCTCTTAAGTGTAATTGGGAACTCTCCCCTTCCTTTATTAATATTAAAAAGGCAACTGTTCTCTGGTGGACATAGGATTATTTTGATCCGAACCACGTTAAATCTTGTGTTCTTTCTTTTACGTTTCCGCTAACAA